GGCAGATGGGTGGGTGAGTGGATGGGCAGATGGGTGGGTGAGTGGATGGATGGATAACTGGATGGGTTGGGGAAAGGGTAAGTGGATAAATGTATGCACAAATGGATTGATGGGTGGACAAGTGGTAAGTGGACAGGTGGGTGGGTCAGTGGGTGGGTGGGTCAGTGGGTAGGTGGGTGTGTGGGTGGCTGGGTAGATGGAAAGGAAAGAAAGACATACTTTAATTCTTAAACTTTTTGATTGAGGTATTATGCACATACAGGGAAGTAAACACATTTTAAGTGGATAGCTGAGGGAATTTTTATGTATGTAGATCCTCAAACATGCCTTGGCCCTGAAGAATTCAACTTGCGATTTTAATTTTCGTGTTTGCTGTTTTCTTGCATTACCCCCCTCTCCCTGATAATGACAAAGCTAGCTCTCCATCCCTACCCCCATGACCTGGGGACATCTGGTTTCCTTCAAGGCAGGCACACAGGATATGCCATTTGGATGATGGTGTGAAGGGCTTCGTGGAGACAGAGACAGGGTCCTGGCTGAGCAGGGGCAACAGACAGGCCAGCTACGGGATTATTTATTCCATCAACACCTTCAACCAAAAACACTGCTTTCCATTCCCTAGACTTCAGGCACAGATGGGATCACTTAATGTTAAAAGACATCAGTTATTCCCAAATCTATAAATTCGGGCCATCTAGGTGCATACCATCATGACCAAAGAACCAGGAGAGAGCCGCTAAAATACAATTCTGAAAGCACAAGTTGCAAGATAAAAATGTGATGAAAATGTTGACATCAGCATTCAGGATTTCTATTTATTAAAGGACATGGAAGAAAGTTAACAGACAGATGGCTGATGGGGAGAAAGCATCACAATGTCTGAAGCTGACGAACACGTCACGTCTCTGCGTGACACAGACACTGCGGTGTTGCTAGGGACGTGCTGCCAGTCAGCAAGGGTAGAAGGAGGGGTGGGATGGGGGGTCACAAAAGAGGACCCTCACACTCACCTCAAGTCGGAGAAGCGCAGACTGCCGCGGCAGGAGGTCACGTTCACCTGCTCACCTGGCAGAACGGTAAAGCTGGAGGACGCTGAGTGTGGGTGCTGCAGGCCACAGGGGCCTCAGGCAGGAATGCGCGCTGCGCACCTCTTGGGAGAGAGACCGCACACGTGGGACTTAGAGCAGATGGCAGCTGACACTGAGGCAGCCAGCACAGCTAGGCACATGCTGGAAGGAGGGACCTCCCCTAGGAGCCCAGGGACACGCCCATGGAGGAACAGCACAGGTGGGGCTGGAGAAATGCGGCAGGCGACTCCCCACACACTCTGCGGTGGTCAATTACAACAGACAAGCAGACCTCTAGCAGCCCAGAGCAATCTTACAAACAGTGTTGGGTGGGGAAGAAAGACACAGATGGGTCAGACACAGCTCTGTGTCTGTAGGCTAAAAATACATGAAACTCTGCAAAGCTCCTTGTGAGAGGGCTCCTGCCCAGCGCACCTGTGAAGCGCAGCTCTGGGGAACTCGAGAGGGGAGGGGAGAAGGGAGAGGCCACTGATAACTGAAAAGAAAGAGCTTTGGGGCCATATGGTCCCTCCTAGTGGACAGGGCTGTGTGGCTAATGCAGCCTCCATGAGAACACCTGGGGGCCACTTCCACACAAAGAGCAGTCACGGTCAACATTGCAGGATTGAGAAAACGAACTTACTGAGCTTATTCTAAAATGTACATGTAAGAATAAAACTGTTTAAATGGTAAAACCTGTTTTGCAAAAGCTGAGCAAAGAGGGCCAACTTTCCCGCAATGGATCCTAACACACCCTGCAAAACCATGGTCATTAAAAGAGAGAGACCGGCGTGGGAACAGAGCATGGGTCTGAACACCCTCTCAGGCCTGGGCCAGGGCAGAGGCAGCACCTTCCTGTCTGATGACACCAGTCCTCTGGCTTTGAGGGTTTGTTGAGCACAGACTCTGCCCCAGGCCTGGTCCCAGTGCTGGGGCGCAGGGTGGGCCCAGCAGATCAAGCTTGGTTGTGTGCTTGTGTAGTTCCCAGTGTGGGGACAGAGGGACCGAAAGACTGCTATAGTGAGCTGTGAGGAGAGAGCCCTGGGAGTAGTCAAGAAAGGCTTCCTGGGGGAGGCGGCATTTGCTGAAGGAGGAGTCTGTAAGTGCTGGTGAAGGTGGGTGGTAGGAGTGTTCCAGGGAGCAGGAGTGTGTACAGGGTCCTGCCCAGGGGCAGGAGAGGGAGAATGGGATGAGTTTGGAGAGGTGGAGCGGCCCCCCACTGCTCTTGGTGGGGAGTCAGCCCCTGAGGGGCTCCCTACCTGCCATTTAACCCTGTGACGGTTCTGTGAGGTGGCCTTTCCCGTCTTCCATTGCCCCTTGAATCGTAATAAATATACAGAGCTTTAAAGCTGAAAAGTCTGTACTCCAGATGAGAACACTGAGGCCCAGATGTGAGACCTTGTGGAGGAGGCAGAGGAAGAAGTTCTACCCAGACGGTGCAGGGCTCCCAAGGCTCCTGACCTCTGGATGATCTGTGGTTGTGGCCTCCTTAGTCCCGGTGCCCCAGCAGGCAGGAGGCAGCCCACACCTCCCACTTGGGAGCCCAGAGCTTCAAGTTTAACCAAAGCCATCAGAGTTTAAACACTGTCATTGATTATTGCAAGTAGGCTTATGAGCCTTAACAGCTTAGATTTGTATCTGCAGGAGAGCTGTTCATCTTAAATAAATATGTTTTTAATAAGCTCTGAGTATTTATGGAGCATAAAGCTGTCAGAGAAAACGGAGACGAAGATTCTTGAAGTCGCTTACGGTACGGCCCAGCGCCGATCCATCGTGCAAACAGGGCTCCCAGCAGGATAGGGGGTGTTGGCTGCTAGCAGTGAGCAGAAGACTTGGGTGATTATTATCTCAGAGGATTTTTTTTTAATAAGCTGCTGTTGGTTATTTAACCTACAATAACCACTTAATAAACATAGTAAATTACTCGCCGGTTTAGAAACATCCTCTTTTCCTTCCGGTCCTTCCCGACACCACCTGTGCCCAGCAGGTCTTGACATGGAGCCTTGGGATGGATGTTCTCCCCACCCTATCACCCCAGAGATCAGCCTGCACACTGGGCCTGCGGCCAGAGCTCTGATCTGGGTGGGGTGGGCACAGGCCAGGATGGGGGCTTCTCATTTGGTTTCATGCCTCCCGCTGGGATGGGTACATCACTTTCCCAGCGCCAGGGAGAAGGCTGAGGGCAGCATGGAGTCTTGGGCTGACCCTCTGGGCCCAGGCTGGCCAAGAGGCCCCTCTCCACTCCCTGGGCTAGGCTCCTGCCCCCAGCATCCCCTTCAGCTTTCCTGCTCCACGGAGAGCTGCCCACATGGCACACCCACCTATCGTCCATAGCATGGCAAACTCTCACCAGTGTTGCCCCCCCCACCGCCCCACCATGTCCTTTTACCAGCTGTTCTCTGACTCTGCCTGTCACCATCTGAGCTTTTACTGTGGTGCTGTTCTAACCACTTGACACATTTTCACTCATTTCATCCTCTAAGCTGTGGGCAGCACAGTCGTCTCCTTTTACAGATGAGGCCATGCAGCCATGTCTGTGAGCCAACCTGCCACTATTCACAGCCTGGGAGCTCCAGCACTGGGACACCCAGGCCCTGGGAACAGCATCTACAAAACAGTGTTTAAAGGGTTTGTCTAGCACAGCTCAGGCTGCTAACAAAATACAGCCAGTTGATGGCAGATACACTCTGAGAAATTTTCATCCTAAAGTGATGTCATTGTGTGTGAACGCCACACTCTTAGATGGCTCAGCCTGCCTCACACCAGCACGGCATACCCTTTGCTCCTGGGGGACACATAAGGACAGCAGGTTACTGTATTGAACACTGTTCAATGGCATTTGTGTATCTGCACACATCTAAACGCAGAAAGGATGCAAAAAAGACAGCATAAAAGATACCAAGTGGCACACAGGGTCAGGCACCTACCATGCAGGGTGCTTGCAGGCCAGCAGCCGCTCTGGGCCAGTCAGTGGTGAGCGGAGGTGAAGGCCTCGGCCGTGCTGTGCATGGCTGTGGACTCATGAACATTAGATACTTAGGCTACACTGAATATGAAAACTTTTTATTTTTAAATACTAAATACCTCAGTTTACTAGAAGGCCATGTTGTATATGTGTTTCACTGTTGACTGAGTTGTCCTGTGCCTTAAACCACAGAAATTTATTCTCTCAGTTGTGGAGGCCGGCCATGCAAGGTCAAAGAGCCAGTAGGCTCAGTTCCAGGGGAAGGCGAGGCGAGGGCTTTGGGCTTGCAGATGGCCACCTTCCTGTGGTGGTTTCACATGCTGCACTCAGCCTGTGTCTGGGAATGTGCTGCCCTGGGTCCACGCGAACCCATCCAGGTACACATCTGCAGCAGGGCAGAGGAAGGCTCGAGGCTGCAGAACTGGCTGTGGTGTCGTGGGTCACCCTACAACTATGGTATAGACTGTGCTGGCCCCGGGATCAGGACTAGCCTGGCCAGGATTTCAAGACTCTTGTCACATGGCGTTGGCATAGAGGAAAGCAATAGCAGGGTGCACCAGGTCCCTGAGACCTGGGGTGGCTGGCTGAACTCATACAGGGGCAGGACAGAGGCTCTGGGCCTCCTGCCTTTTGGTCTGGCCTTCTGAAGACCTCCTTCCTTGCTGAGGTCGTGGCCCTGAAGAGGGCACAGAGGAGGCTTTGGCCCCACCTGCCCAGATGCTGTGTCCACGGGGTCATATGGGCTTAGGAGAGTATCTTGCTGTGTACTCTGGGGAACATGGTTTCTCTGCCTGTAGGCACATTTGCCAGGGAAGGGCTGCACAGGTGTGCTGGGGTGGGGATGCTGACCATTTGGAGTGAGTGCTGCCTGGCCAGTGGGGCCACCTTGCAGTGGGTTTTGTGTACGGGGGTGTGGACAGAGCAGCCTCCTCAGACAGAGCCCTGCTGGGAGGTACCTGGGGCACCGGCAGGGTTGGGTGGGTTGCAGGGACAAGCACATCATGGCTGGAGTGGGTGGCAATGTCCAGACAGAGGGCAGGCACTGCTGAGAGCCCTTCCCAGGCTGGGACCCATGTGGGTTACAGTGGGCAGAGAGAAGTAGTTCTTGAGACAATGGTTCAGGTGCCAGCAACAGAGAAAGGTGGCCATGTGGGCTCAGCTGCTTCGGCTGCCTGGCTGAGTCTTGCTTTGTGTGTGCGTGAGGGAGTGTGAGCATTTGCGTGTGAGTGTGAGTGTGTGGACATGAGTGTTTGAGAGTGTGAATGAGGGTGTGAGTGTGTGCAGGTGCATGTGTGTGTCGGCCTCCTGGGCCTGGGCCCTGTCTCTCCTCACTCCCTATTCTCTGCTTATCTCTGCTGTTAACTCGTATCTTCAAATTATCCCCAGGTTTAAGATTTTTTCTTATTTAAAAAAATCTTGTGGGCCAGGCACAGTGGCTCACGCCTGTAATCGCAGCACTTGGGAGGCTGAGGTGGGTGGATTGCCTGAGCTTACAGGTTCAAGACCAGCCTGAGCCAGAGCGAGACCCTGTCTCTAAAAAATAGCTGGGCATTGTGGTGGGTACCTATAGTCCCAGCTACTCAGGAGGCTGAGGCAAGAGAATTGCCTGAGCCCAAGAGTTTGAGGTTGCTCTGAGCTGTGATGCCACAGCACTCTATAAAGGGTGACAAGTGAGACTCTGTCTCAAAGAAAAAGAAAAATCTTGTGGAATATATCACACATTCAAAAGTGTGTAAAACATGTGTGTATGGTCAAGCATAACGAAATGAACTTAGAATGGACAGGAGGGCATTGGCAGCATCAGCAGCCCCTGTGATCCTCCCAGCCCCACCTCCTGCCAGCCTACTGCAGGTGGCCACTGCGATGGTGCCCTTCCCACATGAACGATGTGCAGCTTATGGCCGTGAGTGCGGCTTTAGTGCTGCATGGTCTGCGCCTACAGGGCAATCATTCTGGAAGTCTATCCTTTGGACAGACCACTCCTCACTTTCCCCTTCTAGGGTGTGTGGGCACATGAGCTGCTCCCAGGACTCAATCCTTGAAGAACAATGCTGCTGTGGGCACTGCTGGACACGCCTTCCAGGGCCCACACTTTCCTGGGGTCTCAGGGATGGGAGTGGCCCTGCTCACTCTGGCGGCCCTTGAGGCCCCCTCACTAGCAGGGATTGAGACCCTCCCATTACTTTTTACATTTTTCTCTCCTCCACCCCTATATCCCCTCCCTTTCCTTCCTGCTGAGGTGGAATGCCGATGTCTCACTGGGCTCTGCCACAGTGGTCTGGGACCGAGGGTAGTGATGTCCTACTTGGGAAGAGTGTCCCATGCCCACCTCAGCGACTCCACTGCTGGAGCAGGGCCCCTCCCTCACAACAGTCAGGTAAGCTCCTTACTGCGTCAACCAAACCATAGGCCAAAATGCAGCCCCTGGTTGGAGGTATCATGGTACTTTCAATGCCAGCCCTCTCTGGGGCAGAAAGCCTCCCACCCTGTCAGTGCTGGGCGCCCCCTGCCCTCAATTCTTGGGAAGCCGGCTGGAAAATGGTGGGGAATTGGTTGGCTGTTGCTGGTTTTCCAGGACTCCCGAGGAAATGCTTCTTGGTAACGAGCAGAGCCCTGGGCAAGCTGAAATTGTACGGGCAATTAACCCCACTGGCCCAGTGCCCAAGAGGACCACCAGCCACTCCTGCTGCCCAGCCGCCTCCTAGAAGGAAGTCCAGGCTTGGTGTGTTCTCTCCTCTGCTCCTCTCCCTGGGGCCTGCCAGGTGGGCATGGTGGGGGAGGCTGTCAGGGCAGCAGAGCCACACAGGGGGCACTCGTCCTTCTCCTTCCAACAACTTTCCCACCCTCCCGGGGCTGTGGGTGTCTGCTGGTCTCTGAGGCCACATGGACTCGGAGGACGTCATCTGAGGTCCCTGCCATGGGGCAGCCCTGCTGTTGTGGTGTCTGTGGGGGTGAGTGGGCAGGGGCCGGCAGCTTAAGCTGTATGTCAGTGACACACTTTGTGGTCACAAAGACGAAAATCACAGGCATTTTCTGTGCAGAAATCAGACAGGTCTGTGAATCATAGGGGCTGCTTCCTCTCTTATCAGAGAAAACTCTGCTGGGTCCCTTCCTGCACCCCAGGACTGGCCTGTGCCCTACCAGACTGTGAACACCGGGCACATCTGAGACTCAGTGGTGCAAGGCAGGCTTCTCCAGGAAAGAAGAGAGCAGGGTGGCTGTGGGTGGGCAGAGCTGGGAGTGGTGGGTTGAGTTGGAGTTCACCAATGCAGGAAAGGGGAGGGTAGCACAGGCCGCAAGACAGCGTGTGAAGGGGGGTGATGTTTTCTGGTGACAGCAACGGAGTAGAGGGTCAGAGTGTGATGGGAAATGAGTTGCTGGGGTCAGGCTGGGGTTCTCGGGTCCTGAATTCTCTGCCGTGGGCCACAGAGAATCACTGTTTTCCCGGGGCATGGAACTCCTCAGTCTACCCTCACTCCTTTTAGGATCTCCAGAAAGTTCTTCTGGACCATCTCCCCAAACTCCCCAGACCCTCTTTAAACATCACTCTCATGTGACAACTTCCACCTACCCCATGTTCCAGGTCTCTGAAGGCCAGAGAGGGGAGAGGACAGGAGAGGAGCTGAGGTCCAGATTCTGGGTGGCTGGCAGCTGGGGTCTAAGCAGCTTGTGGCCATGGGGACACCACCTCCTTTGCTGAGTCCTCACTTCCCCGTCCATAAGGTAACAGAACTGTTCTCCTAAGGTCATGCATGGATTAGTATGGCAAATCTTTGCAGAGCTTGGTGTGTCGAATGTGCTTATACT